ACACACACACACACACACACACGCGCACACACACACGCGCGCGCGTGCACGCATACGCACGCACGCACACACACACACACACGCACACACACGCACACCCAGGAATATTTGGGACGAACAATAATATCATGTCTGGAGGAGAGAACAAAAGCTTCGGTGAACTGAAGGTTGCGTGTGGCTTGGAATTGCTTTGGAAGGCAAAGGGAAACATTTATAGATCAAAATCTGATGATGTCACTAAAAAGACAAGTCTAAGTCTTCAATCAGTAAAGTGTCCCAGTAATTAGCTATGGGTGTCAGACCTGGCCAATAACCAGGAATACATGTAAAAAGTTGTTCCCGCATCCGATCCGGACATTGGGGATTGCCTTGTTAGTGAGACAAATTCCTGGGCCTTCGGCACATTGTGGTACGGTGGCCAGTTCCTTTCCACGCCGCCGTTACTTCCCCAACTCGAAGTCAAGTACCCATTACTGCTTGGTGGGCAGGAGGGAGCAAAAAAATCAGTGTCCGAACCGAGGCTCGAACCCGGACTTTCCGCTTCGGAGACGAGCGCACTAAGAGCTCCGCCACCGCACCCTCTATCAGAAATACCACCAAAAAAAAATAAAAAAAATAAGCGCAACACAAAGAGCGATAGGGCGTAAAATGCTGGGCATAAAAATTCAGGAAAAAAATAAATCACACACAGATACGAGAGGAAACAGGAGTGGCAGACGTCCTCAAATATATACTCACTTAGAAATGGTAATGGGCTGGTAACATCTGCAAAGTGGGAGACAACATCAGATGAAAAAAAACGATGCACTGAATAGAGACCAAGAGCTGGAAAAAGATCCAGAGGAAGACCAAAAGGAAAGTGGTAAGGTGGCATCAGACTGCAGATGGGTACAGCATGGACACGAAAAAGAAAGCTAATAAAGAAGAGTGGAGGTTACGTATAGGGCCTATGTGAACTTACTTTGCAAAGAAAATAGACCATGACCAACGACCGAAGGTCATGCAACAGGCGTGCATAGTGTCCAGGCCAACATTCGACACTCGTGCACTCTCTTGTCTTTTTCTCTTGTTTTGCTTTTTTGAAGCGCGTACGACTTGATGGTCTGCATCACTTGAGGGCTTCTTGTGAAGATTTAGGCGACAAAAAATCTGGAGATTCTTTTCGGTTTAAAAATAGGAACATTTCGGTTTGTATATAGTTTACTCAAAAAAAGAGAGAAAAATCTTAAAGTTCATTTTCTTTCAGGTAACCATTATTTTCAGATTGACTGTGTTCAATTTAAGCGGACTCCACTGTATTTATAGACACGAACAGACAGAGACCCGAAAGGTCAGAGAATGGCGTGTGAAAAGACAGCAGAAACTGCCTCCATTCCTTCCACCAGTCGATGAGCTTCCAGCAGTCTCTTTGTTCTCGTCTTGTCTTTTTTCCGACTTTTAAACCCCTATATTGCTGAGACGTTTCCATCTACGTATGTACAGACAAGGCAGAATGTTTGTTCAAGAGAGATTAAAACAAAACCATAAAATAGTTCATTTAAATTAAGAACAATCTACTGTAAAAGCAATTCCATCTTCTAAACTGTATATATAGGCTAGAAGTAGAAACAAACAGCTGTGAACCAGTTTTGGAAAATCCAAGCAATTGATCTGTGAACACAGCAGTCAAAAGGTTAAGCAGATGACAATCTGGAAGGTCGAACGACCCACTTGTTGCTGCTGGCAAGTTGGACGGTCACGTGACTATCTGCTTCCTTCCAAGAGTGCCTGGTCTGAGAGTTGGTCAGTGGGGCGAGGACATCCAGGCAGACAGGAAGACAGCACGAGTGCAAAAACTTGACAGCGAGCACGCACAGAAGACAGCCAGCACACTCACAACAATCAGCCAGCACAATCGGACGTTCATTGCCCTCTGTTCCAAACAGCCAATAAGAAAAATTATCCAAACTGCTGAAATATTCATAACATTTTGAAAGATATATTGATTTTTAAAAATTATTAATAAATGGAAACAAACGAAACAGAAGTAACAATCATACTTTAAGGGAAACATAAAAAACCCAAAAGAAAGTGCATTATTTATATTCTATTTTCTAAGGAAGGTATTTTGTACAGGTAAGAAAATATGTTCCGTCTCTACTTTCTTTTCACTATTAGATCTGTAACTTGTTACTTGTTCATATTAACAACATGCTTGAAAATAATAGATTTAAAGTTGAATGGTCCGAGATATCATCATCATCATCATCATCATCATCATCATCATCATCATCATCATCATCATCATCATCATCATCATCATCATCATCATCATCATCATCATCATCATCATCATCATCATATATCATCATCATCATCATCATCACAACAACAACAACAACAACAACAACAACAACAACAACAACAACAACAACAACAACAACAACAACAACAACATCAACAACAACAACAACAACATTGATATTAAAAACAACAACAGTAACAACAACAGTAACAACAACAACGACAGCAACAACAACAACAACAACAACAACAACAACAAAAACAACAACAACAACAACAGAAGCAACAACAACAACAAGAACAACAACAACAAAGTAACGACAACACTAACAGCAAAAACTACAACAACAGCATCAACAATAGAACCATAATTTTGATCCTTGTATACACAATACAGAGAAACAATCCTTAGAAACATAGAAAAATATTAATAACATCAGATATGCCGATGACACAGTTTTAAAAGCAGACTCAGAAAAGGACCTTCAATCACTTCTACTTCTAAATACTGTTGTAACAGAAAGTGAACGTAAAGGATTATTGTTGAATATAAAGAAAACAGAATGCATAGCAATAACTAAAAAAAAAGCAGCAAATCCTATTTGTAATCTCATTAGTAAAGACGACAAAATCAAACAAGTCCAACAGTTTAAATATCCCAAAGTCCAGATTCGGTTAAAAATTATGGAATTTGAGTTGTACGCATTTTTAGCTTCCTCAGCCTCTCCTACAGCATTTACTATTCCATCTCTTAATAAACCCTCAAAAGCCGTATTTTTACCCATACCGGGCATGTTTGTCACCACCATTTCCTCATAAAGTCAATATTTTATTGCGGCCGTTTTCTCAAAACGCAATTTTTCTCTATACTTTTTTGAATTTTTAATTCAATCTTCATGAAATTTTCAAAGAATGAAGAGAAGATGTAATAGTTAAAATTGAATTCTTTTATATGTCCAATAGATTTTTAGTGTCTGGAATGTCGATTTTCACGGATGTTTTGCCAACTTGAATACTACCTCAGGAAAAAATTCATAAAAAATTGCTGTAAGAAGTATAAGAATGAGAGTTGGAGGAGAAAGGTTCAAAAAGGTCTTTTTAAGGATGGGTAGGGGGGTGGGTGTTGTGGGATAAAAGAATGTATTTTTGCCTATTTTGCACCTGTTCTCGGAAGCGACTTGACAGAGTGGGGCGTTTGAAATCTGGCCAACTCTGACATCTCTCGTGTTTTCTTCTTCACAGACGTTGCAAAGATGGGCGACTCCACCAGGCTCCCAATACGTCATGTGATCTGGGGAGCGCGTAACGTCATCATCCTGGTCCTGACCCCTCTGCTGTTACTGCCACTCCCACTCTGCATTGGAACTTCCGTATGTAGTTGCGTCCCTTTGTTTTTGACGGTTATATTTTATGGCGTCCTCGGCGTCGTGGTTAGACGTCATGGTTAAACGTCACAGACGAGGACGTAATGGTTGGACGTCATTGTTAGACTACATGGTTAAAGTGGACGTAAAGGTTGCACGTCATGGTTAGACGTCATGGTTAGGCGTAGTCGTTAAACAATAGTTAGGCATAGTGGTTAGACGTAGTTACGTAGTTAAGTGGTTAGACAATGATTAGGCAATATGATTCGGCGTTGTGGTTAGACAACGATTAGGCATAATGATTAGGCGTAGTAGTAAGACACTTCGGCGATGAACACACAACAGACTTCGTTTCTGGGTCATGGAAGTTTGATTCACTGAGTTTGTATGCTTGCTTGGACAATACGTCTCACTCTGCCCGAGTTGGTCGTAACCAGTTCAGACAGGTCGCCACAGAAATATGAAGAATAAGATTGTTCGTTTGTTTGAGCAATTTGACTCAGATTTGGTCATGAAAGTACCAGAGAAGAAGAAGAAGAAGAAGAAGAAGAAGAAGAAGAAGAAGAAGAAGAAGAAGAAAAATTCTGTTCTACCAAATAATGTCTACCTTTTTGATTGTCTAATTCTGTGCTCTCAAACTTTTGATCCACAGGCGTCGAAGTGTGCCTTTGTTGTACTCATGATGGCTGTCTATTGGGTCACTGAAGCTCTTCCTGTCGGAGTTACCGCCCTTATTCCAGTGGCGTTATTTCCCCTGTTTGAAATCATGCCATCCGAACTTACTGCTTCTTACTACATGAACGTAAGTATACAGCTAGTGGCTACATGAACGTGAGTACACAGCTAGTGGCTATATGAACATAAGCACAGAAGTAGTGACTACATAAACGTCACTACACATCTAGCGGCTAAATGATACGTAACTATAATATGCAATAAGCAGTCATTACCATAAAGTGCAAGATCTGAAACCCATATTGCCGACCCTTGCTCTCCATTTATTTATCCGCTCAGTTGCTCTAAAAATTCCCCACGTCCCCTTCATCGTCTGTTTAGGTTTTTCAAATAAATTTCTCCGGGTCTACATCTGCCTCGTTTGCCTTTTATCTTTCCAGTAAACGTAAGACAGTAAAGAAAGCAGTAAGTAGGGAAAAGACAAAGGTAAAAAAACTACTTCTGCATGGCAAGTACTGTTGTACGCGTTTTTTTTGTGGTGGTAATCCTGTTTAACTTTATAGGACAAGGCCTTCTAATTGTTCAGCCCATGGACACAAAAATAATGCTGTTATTTAAAGAAACGACTAAAAAAAAAAGAACCCACATTGAACACGTTATGGTTGTATACTGGATGAGGTCAAAGCTTCTTCTTATGTGTTACGAACGCGTTGTAGTTCTTATCTGACCAGATGACTTGTGTTGTCTTGAACAAAATCCCGTTGTTTTAAACTTAATAATTTTTTTTTTCAAATTTCTTTTTATCTTGTTTAATCTGGATCAAAATAACAGTAGCACAGAACTACCTAGTATAGTACACGGTCATACATCACTTTTTAAGATAGTTCACTGTGGAGTTTTACACTAAGCAGACAATTTATCTTATGCAACTTTTGGTATGTTTTATTTGATCTATAGACACAGACATCAACGAACGTACACGACCGGCACCAATAGTTACATAATTTACAATGAACTATAACGATTTATATATAAAAGGAAAGCTAAATTTTATTTATAGGTTAGGGTATTACCCACAGCTATTGCCATAGACGTGTACTTCTTGACCGCGTCCTGTCATGCCCGCCGCTCTTTGCTCTTTATCTCTCTTTAAAAAAAAACTTTCGCTGTAAAGCACGTGCACGATCATCCACACCTTTCCGCCCAAATGAAAGGCAAATCAACAATCTCGCATTTAACGTTGAGTGTGCACGGCACCCCGAGCCCCATGAGCAAGGTGGTGCGTACCATAGTGAAACGGAAATGTATCAAAATGTACGATCTAGGATATTATGGTACAATGCAAGTCTATCGCTATTGCCAAATATTATGACGTCAATCAAAGTGGAGTGAACAGTGAAATCGTACGCCAGCTCAGTCAATGGACTTACAGAAGCTGTATTGGTATAGATCACTGCTTGCAACCTGGGCGATATCAACCACTGTAAAAGTGCGGTAAAAAATCCGTGGTGCAATCTTTTCTAAAATCTAAACTACCGAATATAAACTTTTCGACTTTTGCACAATGACTTGTATTAACTTGTCTTAACAGATCAAAAATTGTTGTAAACACCTACTAGGTGTATTTTAGAAAAATTCCTTAATAAATGTTAGTTTTAAAAAAACCAAGTGGGTGTTTTCTACCGATTTTAAAATGTTTACAGCTAGGGCAATGTCGCTTTTGACAAGCAAGTCTGTCATTGTTTTTCTAATCGCGACATTATGCTTATTGAACGCATGTTTTGAAAACTTTTAGTGCCAAAAGAGTATTCACTATGAAACTATTTTTTTGTAACAAGTTTTGCTACTAAAACGGGTCTTTGGTGAGCTGTGACCTTCATCGTAATTATATGCGTGTATGAAAAATAAGTGTGAGAAGCTGGAAGTGCTGTAAAAAATCCCTTTTTTCGCGTGACAGAGATTTGTAGTACTTTATACAGATTTAGGAAGACAATTTTTAAAAATTTTGCCTCAATTATTAAGACAAATTGATACAAACTGCAATGCAAAGTATGGGTGACATTGATTTACTCGCTAAAGAGATATTTCAGGATAAGTTGCGATACGAATTTTTAACCGCACTATAATGGGCAGTTTAGAAGTTTTGGTGGGCAGTAGGAATCATCCTGGAAGTGACAATGGTTGTTTAATAACCCGCTTGGATATAAATGTAGGCAGGTGGTAAGAGAGTTTCAGCTCTGTTAAAGGTTGCAAAATTGGTGGCTGACTAAAAGAAAAAACCAACTAACAAACATTGCTATAGACGAAACAAGAAAAAGGGATTTCTGGTTACTATTCCCGGCCTTTGTTGTCTTTTGGTGTGAAGTAGAGAAGCAAACCTCTTTCTCTTGTTTGTTGTATCGTCTGTTGCATGGCCATAATGTTGTTAATATCTAATTAAATGTTTCTCTGACCGCTCCACTCCAACCCACCCCCCCTTTCCATCTTTTCCTGGGTCTGCCTTTTCCTCTCTATCCATCTGACCTCTGGTAGTATGTTCTTGCTGCTATGCTGTCTGTAGGTAGTCTTGACAGATTATGTCCAAACCAATTTATTCGTTGTATATTTATATAGTAGTATGTAGCCCAAGCAGGGAGCCGAGCCAACTTGTTCTCTGACAATGTGCTCTAAACACATCCTGTTTTGTTTTGTTTAAGGCGGACAACTTCGAAAATATTAAATTATGGCTAAAAAATTTGATACGAATCATATCAAAATAATTATATAGAAAACTTGGCCTCCATGTTGAAGTTAACATCCTGTTGTCGTAAGCGAGTTTGTGTTAACCTCGCTTGGTTTGCTTGATACAAAAAAATTGCTGTTCTGATCATATGTTTGTAATAGCGTACAAGGTGCATGGTCTTATTGGCCATACAAACGCCAAAAGTCATCTTGAATATGAAAACGTATTTGATTCAAAGACATGACATTATTGATAAGAGCCTGTTTTTCTAGCACATCTAAATGTGTGGAATCCTTCGAAAACTGAGAACAAAATGTCTGGCCTTGGGATCTACGTCGGTGATGAAAGAGGTAACCGAGTTCCTACTTTTGACCCTCCCCGCATCTCGCTGGGGCCTTGTCCTTTCCCTGTTTCCACCAACAAGTTGTTTCTTGATAGATAGCTACTGTACACCACACTTTTTTGCGCGGTCCTTTTTTTCTTCGCATTTTGCCCCTTTCGTAGTAAGTTTAAAATTCGGGATTTGAGTTGCCTAGTGATCTTGTCGCGGGGAAACAGCATAACTATCGTAAATGGGTGGTTTTTGTGAAAAATCCTTGAAAATATACAAACAACCCCCTTCACAAACGACAACTGCAACAAACAAACAAACAAATAAAAACAAAAACCCCAACATATTCTAGGGCACTAAGAAGGGGCATGTACTGGCAAAAATCTAAGTCGTTCGAGTTTTCTTTTTTTTTTTTGGGGGGGGGGGGGGAGATATTTTAAAACTGAAATTCCAGATTTTGTTGATAGATCTAACTATTATAGTAGTGAAAAATCAGTTCTTTTTTTGCTTCTCCTAAAACATTTGAACAACCAGAGTTACGATAGTTGTGCTGTATTGCTCTATAGCCTCTTTTAACATTTGTCTAATTACTCGCATTCACGGAATTCTTTAAAAACCGCCAAACGTTGCGATAAAGAAAAATCTCGGTATACAGTAATTTTAAGCCCTGTCCCAAGTAAATTATAATAAGATGGGCTTATCTTAGACGAAAATAACTTTATACACATTTCCAAGTGGTCTTTTTCCCAGTCTTCACGGGATGGGGGCAGCTATGGAGAGGGTGTGTAGGCCCCCCAAAAATCTGACCAACTATTTCCGGAACACATACAATCGGTAAAATACGTTACGAAATTGCAATATTTTTTAACCTAAATTTTCTACTTAGTACATGTAAACAGCTGGCCGACTATTAAATAGTGTCAGCAGACCGTTGTTTAAATCCGTCGTTACATCGGTGGGGGAGCTCTCCGCAAAGCCAAATCAGAAATGGACGTCAAGCTGCAAGACGATGTCTTCTGTTTCTGAAAACAAAAACGTACTTAATAAATGATATTTTGCTTCGGAAGCGCTCAGTGAAAAAAAGGAAATTATTGCAAAGTCACTTTAATATTTTTGGCCTTCCTTCACTTTCTTATCTTACCGACTTCTAAGAGTGACTGGGATTTTTGTAAATGAAAAAAGTAACGAAAATAAAATAGTGCAAAAATGTGCAAAGAAATGGGCACGTCACTATCAGCTGTGCGGGGAATGACCCACTGTACTGTCTGACCTGTCCATTTGTTGACTCCAGAACCAAAGAAAACTGCGCCGTGACGTGCCTGAAGCTAGTGACTACACAAAGGTCATTTCGAAAAGACAAAAACCACTTACCTGCAAAATGACAAAACACGTAGCTATATATTGACAAAAGCACATATCTACAAAATAACAAAAACACATAACTACCAAATGACAGAAGCACGTATGTACCGTATGTTTTCCTCACGGATTTCCACAGAACATGACCCTGCTATTCACGGGTGGTCTCTGCATGGCCATCAGCCTAGAGTACTGGAACCTTCACAAAAGAATCGCGCTCAAGATTCTGCTCCTCGTAGGCACAGAGCCGAAGTGGTGAGTCGAGTGAACTGCAAGTTAATGGTTATTAGTTTAAGTAAGTATTTTACGACACTTGTAACACGAACAGGTCATAGTATACGTGCCAAAGATTAGGGGTATTATTAGAGAGTAACATACAAAGAAAAGATGGAGAGGTAATAACGATATTTTCGCACAGATGATAATAACTGGGTAGCTCGTATGGATGACGGAATGAATAAACGTCTAGACCTCTCAGGGCAATACCCCTCCCCCTCAAACACAGGAGGTTTATGCAAGATTTGGGACTTAAGATCTTAGGCTCATTTCCAAAAACACCGAGTCAAGTGAGTAGACAACAGTGCCTGGAATACCTGGAGGTGTTATCTCGGGCTCAGAGGTTGACGGGGAATGACACATCATTCTTTTCGGTCGCTATCTGCTCCCTGTGCATCTTGTCATGTTTAGGCTAGACCATGCTTTGATGGTGTTGGTCCACATTATACTTTGTTCACCTTTAACCCTTGTGCTCCAATTCTTGCCTTCGAACATTTCCTCCATTGTGGTCTGGTGACGTTTTGTACGACCAAAGTATTATATTTTTCTACTTTCTATATTACTTAACAGTGCAGCCAAATTAAGTACATGTGCACTAATACTTGTCACTTTCGGTTGCACTCTCACTATAGGAATCCTTTACGACTTCTTGGCTGGAGATAGTGTTCCACAGGTCATATAGGAACAATACACCACACTCCCCCCCTCCCTTGCTCCACCCCCTCTCCTCCTTCTCCCTCTTATCCCTTCTTCCCCTCCTCTCTCTTCCTCTCTCCTCCATTCCCCTCTTCTCTCCATCTCACCTCCTTTATCCACCTCCTATATCCCTCTCCCCCCTTCTTTTCCACCCCTTCTTCCCTCGCTCCCCCTCCATCTTACTTCCCTCTCCCTCTCCTCTCACCCCCTTGCCATATTATATCCCCAGGTTGATGCTTGGTATGATGTTAGCCACCTGGTTCCTGTCCATGTGGATCTCCAACACCGGAACTACCGCCATGATGGTTCCCATCATCACAGCCGTCCTAGATCAGATGAGGAAGGGGAAGAACTCCAGTAGGTACTCGCAGTTGTCGATTACGTTGTTGCTATAGTTACAGTAGGCACCTGAAGCTGTCGATTATATTGTTGTTTCGGTTACAGCAGGCACCATAAGTTGTCTATTACATTGCTGCTCTGATAGTAGTACGTGCCAGCAGTTGTCAATTACATTGTTGTTTTGGATACAGTAGGTACCCGTGTTTTGTCGGCAAGATGTTCAACTGTTCTAAACCCTGAAAGTAGTTGGGTTTTTTTAGGAGATAAATGTGTTTCATTATTTTTATTAACAATTGTACCCAATTTTTATACATCATTTTCTTGTTTCTTTCAACATTTAGGGTTTTAATTCTGACAAGGTATTCCTTGAGCACATGCAACCGATAACCCAGATTAAGAAACTGTAATTCAAAGAACAAATTTTAAGTTTTTTGGCCCCAGTACATTAAGACAGCTGGCTGTCTGACGGTTTGTCGATTACAAAACTTGCTTGTTCTATGGTTACTGTTATTTTGGTTGCTGTGATAGCATAATTTGTTGTTGTTATATTTCTAGCTAGTCCTTTTGTTGCTCTGTTTGTTTTACTTCTGCTTTTTATGGTGTAGCTTTTTCTACTGTACAGCTGGTCGACAGGCCAGATAGCCCCAAATTTTGATTTTTTTTTCCATTTCAGTTTCTTAATCTGTGGTATAGTTTGCAAGTGTCGGAGAAATATTGTGTTTAAATTCAAATATGTGAGTTGTGTTCTGCACCTAGCCGGCTGCAGTTACAATTTGCTCCGCAGTTTTTGAGCAATTTCTCTATTCCACTGCTTTGGATTATCCTTGGAAATGTTGTCATTTTGCTTCTATTCACCGTGGTTTCTGTGATATATAAATCATGAATTTCTGTGTCGAAATGAATTCAAAATTGAAGAATTTTAGTTTGGAGTCGAAGATCGCAACGATCGCCGTAGCCATTTTCAACCTATATTGCATGGCAAAGGATCTGTACTCACAACACCATACAGCCCAACGTATATTCTTGGCTCCCGTGACAGAGTGTGTCCTTATCAACAATGTTTACAATTGCCTTTTCCTCTTTTTTCCTGTGGTTTTTATTGTGACTCTAGGTTGTTGTGTGTTGATAGAGAAGAACGCTACCCAACAAGAATTGTGTACCTCAAGGATTAACTGACACGCGTGAACCAACTGCGTCAATGTGCTGTTTCAGATACCGTGTTGAAACATTTGTCACTTCTTGGAATAAGAAAGTCACCATGCCCGTGTAATACACGAGTAAAAAATACAAAAGAGGTCATAGAGCAGGTACAAGAAAACAAAGGCAAATCGATGTTAAAGTAACTAATTCCACCAAGCAAGACCAACGTAAGATTCGTGGATCAGTGACACTTAACAACTTGTTCCCAGTGAACACCTCTATAGAAGAACGGATGTTTTCAAAAAGATTTAAAGTACTTCTGCTTAATGCACAGTCAGTTCGTAACAAAACTGTGCTTCTCAACGATCTAATCTCGGAAATTAACATTGATCTCGCATTCTTAACGGAAACCTAGATCTAGATCTAGATCTAGATCTAGTTGACTTCATGTGTTGACAGCGTTCTTCTGCAAGATTTTCTTAGGATTTTCAGCTGCGTCTTTTACACGACTGACAGGTCGAGGTGGAGGTATATGTGTCATTGCTAGAAATGGGATGTTATGTAAGTCCTACTGCCTCACCGATTACTCCAGCTTCGAGTGCTCAAAATCTGAGCTTTTGGTCAATAGTCATCGAATCACATTTCTATGTATTTACCGTCCCCCTTATACGTCGAAAAACAGGTGTAGTGCCCATGAATTTTTTAACGATATCCAAGACTTGTTCGACACTCACATTACCAAGAAACACAAACTAATACTACTCGGCGACTTTAACATCCACTTTGACTCCCAATCAAATGAATTCGCAAATGACATGAAAAATGTTCTGACCACCAGGGGACTCAAACAGGTAGTCAACTATCCAACTCATCAGAGGGGTCACATACTCGACTGGGTCGCCACCAACAATGTAAAAACTATTGTCGACATTGTTGTCACAGATAAGGTTTTATCGGATCACTTTGCTGTGCCGTTCGAATTGGATATTAAAAAGCCGGGCCCTACGAAGCGCTCTGTCAAGAGTAGAAACTTAAAGAATATCAACGATGACCAATTCTCCGCGGATTTGCAGCGCGATGCCATCAAAGTCATGTCATGTGTAAACAAGGCAGATAGTTATAACACCATGGCGAGGGGTGTTTTTGACCCACACGCCCCATTCAGATCCAGAACTCTTTCAGATCGACCGTCGGCGCCGTGGATGACGCTGGAGATAAAGGCAGGCAAAGCGGAGCGACGTCAAGCAGAGAGGAGATGGCGGGCTCAAAGACTCACTGTGCACAGGGACATATACAGACAACTTCACAGAAAAGTCAAAGAACTCATAATCGTAGCGAAACGTTCCTTTTACAATAACATGGTATCAAAGTCAAAAACTTCTAAGTCTCTTTCGCCTTGTTCATTCTCTTTGTGGAAAATCTAAATCTGCTTCTATTCCTTGTGCTTCTCCCTCAGGAGAGCTAGCAAACAACCGTGGAACATTCTTTGCGGAAAAAATTGCTACTATAAGAGACACATTAGATACACGCGGTTCATCTGCACCTGAATTCCAGGAGTTCTACGGGGACCTTCTATGTAATTTTAATCCTGTTTCACAGGACTCAGTGAAAGAGATCATACTGTTATCACCACCGAAGTCCTGCTGCCTTGACCCTGTCCCGACACCTTTATTAATCAACCATCTTGATGTTGTTATTGATGTTGTAACAGCTATTATTAATGATTCACTCCTTTCAGAAACAGTGCCTTTGTGTTTTAAGCACGCCGTTGTTACACCTCTACTAAAGAAACAGTCGTTATCCCCTAATGAGTTTAAAAACTATAGGCCGGTCTCTAACCTACGATTTTTGGCTAAAATCTTAGAAAAAGCAGTTCAATCTCAATTAACAGCACACCTTGAAGTAAATAATCTTTTAGAATGTTATCAGTCGGCCTACAGAACGTTTCATAATA